TACTGGGTGGGCCACAATCTGCTGTGCAAATTTGGGCCACGTGACCTTTGCTGACCTCTGTAGGTCAAACGGCTGGGAGTGCCACCGAATGACTTGGACTGTGGATTGGGCATGTCATGGCCTACATTGTGTGCGAGTTTCAGCTTGATCGGAGGTGTCCCGAATCTGGGCTGAATCCGGGCTGCGACGTATTGAGTGTCGTTTATTTGCACATTTTGACCTGCCGAGGTCAAACGGGGTCACATATCGAAAAGCGGTTTTTAAGGAAAGTTACTACGGTCTATGGGCTACCGGATGATGTGCTTTAATTTGGAATTCGGTCAATCCATCTACTCGAAAACTGCTGTGCAAGTGTATTTTCGACATAGCCCACAAATGACCTTAGGTCATCGCATGACCTTGAGAGGTCAAATGAGTGTTGGGAAAGTAAGACTAGATGCTGGCGAGTCGATTGGTGCCATTTTTAGCGCTCTAGCTCTACTGGGTGGGCCGCAATCTGCTGTGCAAATTTGGGCCACGTGACTTTTCCTGACCTCTGTAGGTCAAACGGCTGGGAGTGCCACCGAATGACTTGTACTGTGGATTGGGCATGTCATGGCCTTCATTGTATGCGAGTTTTAGCTTGATCGGAGGTGTCCCGAATCTGGGCTGAATCCGGGCTGCGACGTATTGAGTGTCGTTTATTTGCACATTTTGACCTGCCGAGGTCAAACGGGGTCACATATCGAAAAGCGGTTTTCAAGGAAAGTTACTACGGCCTATGGGCTACCCGATGATGTGCTTTGATTTGGAATTCGGTCAATCCATCTACACGAAAACTGCTGTGCAAGTGTATTTTCGACATAGCCCACAAATGACCTAAGGTCATCGCATGACCTTGAGAGGTCAAATGAGTGTTGGGAAAGTAAGATTAGATGCTGGCGAGTCGATTGTTGCCATTTTTAGCGCTCTAGCTCTACTGGGTGGGCCACAATCTGCTGTGCAAATTTGGGCCACGTGACCTTTGCTGACCTCTGTAGGTCAAACGGCTGGGAGTGCCACCGAATGACTTGGACTGTGGATTGGGCATGTCATGGCCTACATTGTGTGCGAGTTTCAGCTTGATCGGAGGTGTCCCGAATCTGGGCTGAATCCGGGCTGCGACGTATTGAGTGTCGTTTATTTGCACATTTTGACCTGCCGAGGTCAAACGGGGTCACATATCGAAAAGTGGTTTTTAAGGAAAGTTACTACGGCCTATGGGCTACCCGATGATGTGCTTTGATTTGGAATTCAGTCAATCCATCTACTCGAAAACTGCTGTGCAAGTGTATTTTCGACATAGCCCACAAATGACCTTAGGTCATCGCATGACCTTGAGAGGTCAAATGAGTGTTGGGAAAGTAAGATTAGATGCTGGCGAGTCGATTGGTGCCATTTTTAGCGCTCTAGCTCTACTGGGTGGGCCACAATCTGCTGTGCAAATTTGGGCCACGTGACCTTTGCTGACCTCTGTAGGTCAAACGGCTGGGAGTGCCACCGAATGACTTGTACTGTGGATTGGGCATGTCATGGCCTACATTGTGTGCGAGTTTCAGCTTGATCGGAGGTGTCCCGAATCTGGGCTGAATCCGGGCTGAATCTGGGCTGAATATGGGCTGTCTTGACGGACATGGCGTCATACGTCGGCCAAAGCCGGCCACTTCTCTGTGATCGCCGCACTTTTTCTGGCCCGTAATACCATATGAAGGACGAGCGGTGATGACTTGTAAGTGAAACTACGTCATCGGAGTGTATCAACACGGTTCATTACCGCAGAGAGCCGACCGTCTCCCTGCGCCAGATGATGGTAACTGTCGAGGAATGTGGTGAGTGATGTGATGGTACTTGTGTTGTTACACTCCCAGTAAGGGAGGCCACACGCCAAAGACTGAGCTGAGGATTGCAGAGTGCAGACTTCACGCCAAAGATTACAGACAACGAACGAAGCGAAACTTTCCACCCACAAGTCAGCTTTAGAACATAAAATACAAAACACAAAATAGACCCCGGTCCCTGGATTATCCTGTCCTGAGGTCTGATGAGACTAGGAACAACACACGGTGCTAAACCATGGGTTGTATCGCCATAAGAAGGATAACTCAAAGGAGCGCTCCTCCCTCGTCCATTAGCCACATGACTGTAACTGTTTGTCCCGAGCGCGCAGGTGCACTGGTAAAATAAGCAGCCAGCTGCGTAAAACTCACCCAGCTCCGAGCTCACGGAAAACTCATTCAACTGCATATCTGACTCAAGAAATTCAAAAATAGCACACGTAACTGCTGGAACAAAGAACAAAAGCTGCATGTCAGTGAGTCAACAACCTAAGCCATCCAATTCCCTCCAGCATAACAATGGGATTTGCCATACCTCCATGGCAACCAACTCGTGCAACCATCCGCCATGTCTGCCACTAAGAAACAGCTTGATACCGTTTTACCGTATCACGCCGTGACAGTGTCCCACAGTATCACGATGTCAACTAGCTCGGCGCATTGGAAGTTCATCTCGGCATGAGCGCCTCAGCGAGTTCCATTGCCATATTCGAGACAACAGAACGGGGAGCAAAGCAGCAGCACAACGTTATACCGCTGTGACGGAGTAACATCCGCGTTGTTACCAATGCCACTAAGGGACCACAGTTGTACCAATGCAACAGTAGTGACACCAGCTCAGTACCTAATAACCCCTCTCCCAACGTCGCGGCTATCGTGGCTCAGGGCCTGTTGCCAGGCTGTGATCCGCCCGATAACGGCACCAAGTCCGTCCCGTCACCGACTCCAGGGGCCGATTCGAGATGGCGCACTAGGAAGCTAGTAAGACTAGGCGGCCAAGTGACACTTTAATGTAGTGACACTAAGCGGTATTTTACACCAATCGGCTAGTGGCTCAGCGCGAACCGAAATTGCATAGTGACGCTTGAAATCAAGTGTCACTAGGGCCTTAGTGCGCCAACGCGAATCGGTCCCAGGCCGTGAAGACAGCACTGATGACGGTGGAGATACGGAGAAAGCCCGCTCGAATTAGCGTCCGGGCGAATAATGGTGATGTAAGCCCGTCTCGGAGAGAAGGAGATCGCCTCATCACGACCTGGAGATATTAAATCGGAGTGCAAGTCCCAGTTAAGTTGTAAGGACATCGGACATTGAGCGTTATCTTGGAGCACGGATAGACGAGCCAAGAGATCACACACACTGCTGTGAAGATCAGCTATTGAGATGAATTCCACGATTCCTATTTCCTATGCATGACGCTAAGCCTGTCACCTGCATATCGATCACATTCAAAGATCACATTTCCGGGCTAGTCCTGCGGTCAACTTCGAGCCAATTCCATCTTCAGTTGTAGAGGAAAATGTCGGGACCTGAGCCTGTCGCGCAAGCAGCGGCACGCAAAGGCAGCTGTGAATATGGACATTGGACGGGCCGAGCTTGGTGTGGTATTGTAAAACAAGTCTAAAGCTCTGCATATCAGTCTTGGATTAGACGCCCGTAAGCTGCTTTTGCAAGAAAAAAAAAAGACATGAAGGGACAGACCTACGAGTACTTGGTATAAGCGAGCGATCCCTGGCCTCGGTCCAGACACGCCCTAGGTCAGAGCGATCAGCCGACAACGCAGCTCGGGATATCCCAGACCGGAAAACAAAACCCAAATCACCTAATCATACAGCAAGTGCGCCCATGGTAAAAGTAAAAACCCGTCTGGGATCCAAAACCCATGCAAAATGTGATTAGAGATTGTGCTTAGTGTCCACAGACAGCACCCAGCAATCACCAATGGCATTTCGCAGTCGCCACCGGCCACCATTCACTCGTGTGTGTGTGTGTGTGTGGTGCATCTACCGACAGGACAGTGCGCTCTCTCAGCCCCGTACACCACCGAGCCCGTTTGTTTACCACTGCAGTCCACCCGATCCGGCCTGAGCCAGCCCCTAACCGGCGTCAGAGTTCATGGTCATTGGCGGCTTCTGAGGTCCAGTGGACACCCGACCAACATACATAAATGATACAGCGCAATACGGCATATTACAACACATAAATACAAAAACGATACAGTGCACTAACTAGGTACTACACACACACAGCATAGATAAATGACAAAACGCATTACAGCACACAGACGAGACAGGCGGACCTGGCATGAGGGCGGTTTTGGAGATGACATCACTGAAAAGACTCGCTCGTGATACGACCAGCTCAGACATGTCGGACTTTGGGCGCCGAAAGCTGATCTTCCGGGCTCAGGAGCCGTTCATAAGTATCTGAACATTGAGCAGCCCAAATATTTCAGATATCGGGAGTTTGAGGTAATTGCATAAGTACGACCTTGACGTAGAGCAACATCGCCTGCACTTCGCAGTAAATACATATTATGCTTAAATAGTTAGATTCATTGGCACAGACATGAGCTTATCCCAATGAGCTATTCCTCATCTCAAGATAAGAATCAGCATAAGCTCCTCAATGCTCAAGTACCGATACGCACCAATAAGCGTCATTACGCTGGCAATGGTGATAGTTGTGTTCGTAGAAGTCGTAAAAGTATCGATAACTGCCACCGAAGCGAAACCGAACTTGTTCGTTATTACACTAATCTAATCAATATCTTAGACGTGAACGGTGACGTCAACGATTATAACTAGCCTTTGGTCACATCATAATGATGATACACGATAGGGTCTTACGCAAATCACACATACCATTCGCTGCGATGATAAGCAATGTATACTAGGAAAAGCGATATCGCAGTGTCAAATAAGAATGTCATCGATTACGTTGACGTCAATATTGCACCATCGAAAGTGTTAGATATCGAAATTCGTCTGCTTCATCATTTCTTGGATGATATATACGCAGTAGTTACCTACCGCACACGTATACGCATAGACCCACGAATACGATGTACAAATGTTATGTCATAAATGTTGCAAATGCCAGATCCACAAATACTCGGTCTCCTTGATGAAGAGTCATGAGACATACCTTCAAACAGTGACAGCGGACGGTCCGGAGTACGACAGCCGTGCTTCCCATACTGGGAGCACCATTCAGCAAAGCGCGCCGCCCAGTACAGGTACTTGGCGTCCTGAGTCGAACATCCACAAATTCCATCAGGTCAGGGAAGGGTGAGGTGCCAACACTTTGGAAGAGCATCGGCGTATGGTGAGAGCGAAAGGTTAAACACAACCGTGCATTGTTGACTAATGCCACAATGCTAAGGCACAACACAAGGAGCTTGCCGAATAGCTGGTCACATAAAACACAGTATATTAGAAACAAAACTTAAAAACACAGACCAAGTCCAATTGGTAACCGACATTTTCTCTCCTGCCTCCCTAAGAACTAGCCATATCGGTACCACAGATTGCTTGAGGGTGCCACCACCAGAGAGCCGAACGACCCAGGGTCAAACGGCGGAGCGCAGACGGTGCCTCACCAGTCACCTTGGTCAGCTGATACACGTGTAGAAAGGTGTAGGCGTTGCCGGCGGCGCCGTGACACAGACCGTAGCCCTTCTTCAGAAGGCCGCGCCGCCAGACCACCTCCGCCGCCTCCTGGGCCAGCTGCAGGTACCGGTCGTCGCCGAACACCTGCCGACAGACGGACGTAGGATCAGATGAGGAGAGGATCGCCAGGGAAGTCTGGTTGTGGAGTCAGCCGACGAAAGGGTCAACAAGGTGTCTAAGCTCCTGGTACGGCCACTGCCAGCCGACGAAAAGAGGAAGTAAGCTACTGGCAGGGTCGACTGATTGCGCATGCGCGTAAAATGGTCCGTGACCCAGAAAAAATAAATTTTTCTTCTGGGTCACGCATTATCAAACCAGATACGTTCACTCACCTCATGCGCGATATAACCCCCCTTATCGGCAATGACCTTCTCCACACGTAGGCGGAAAGACTTGCATGTCTTGATGATGTATGTGGGCAGAATTTCTCTTCTGGGTCACGATTTTTTTCCTGGGTCACGCTAAAATTCGTGACCCAGAAGAAAAAATGCGTGACCCAGGGGAATGGTTTTTACAGTTTTCCGAATATGGCAAGTTTGTTATCGAATACTAATCTCCAAGTACATCTTATCTGGAGTACCTGAGCACGCAGCAACACGACACTGTGATTCTTTTCGACACTTACCAGCCACAAGTCACAAGGGCGTGTGACCCAGAATAAAGAAATCTTATGGCACGCAGGAAATGATTTCCCCTGGGTTCGCCCAGCCCAACTGACAGTTTTCAGTTTCCGCCCCCGCTCTCTGCGCCTTCGCGGGATAGGACCATATGCAAGTCTGCAGACCCTGCTTACCCGGTCCGTAATGCTTTGAATGAGGAGCTAAGTACCGTGACCCAGAAACAAACATGACCCAGAAAAAAAGTTTGCCAAAAACCGTGGGACAGACGTTTTTGCGTTGTGCAGTTTTGCTAAATTGTATAACCAAAAAATAAGAACCATGAAGAGAAATTTCAATGTTTTTGCTATTCACAACGCTCCCTCGCGCTCAATTATCTCTAAAAATAACTACACAGCAGCTCTGTAGATTTTTTCGCAGGTTGTGGGACAAGCTAAAATACATAGGCACACAAAAGCACGGTTTTGGAAAGATGTCTAATTTTTTTTTTGCCACTTTGCTGTTGCCTTTTCAATGATTTTTTTTCTTCAATCAAACGTCCAAATCTCGCGTACGAACCCGTGTTACGCTAAAATAAGCTCATTTATTGACGTGAGGCATTATTGAAATCGTGGGACAGCATATCTCCACGAATTTTGACGGACACCCATATACACACAGCAAAACAGGTTATGAGTTGATGGCAAACCAGGCAAAGTCATAAAAAATCATAACCATCTGTGGTGTGACTGAAAACATCTATACACGAAGCCACCACCGTCCATCCACCATCCGCACCTTATATGCCAGGCAGAGCATGTGTGAGAAGCCGGGCGCACCGTGACACCAGTGGACCAGCCGGTCGGACAGGACGCTCTCCAGGGAGGACGGGTAGTTACCCGAGGCCAGCCGCAGAGACACCAGGTAGTCCACGGTGGGTCGGACCAGGTCAGACAGAGCCGACTGGCCCACCAGCTCCGGAACCTGCCGAGGGGGAGGGGCTAGTCAGAGGACTGCGGGGGAGGGGCTGGTCAAAGGACCTTAGTGGGACAACAGGTGAGTGGCCATCGCCGTTTTACAGCCGGTAACGCCAGTTCGTTGTTGGAGACAGAGGACGTTTCACCGCAGCAGCATCTGCTCGGAACCACAGTAATTCGTATAACAGTGCCTGATGGCAATGTCATCTACCATTAATTACTAAGATCACGGTAGGAGCACTTAGATCACAATTTCACAGTAACAGCGGACCACGGGCGAGCGACCTATGCACTCTGACACGTTGGGGAGAACAACAGCACTCAGCAGCCGGCTAGAATATCACCACTAGATGGCAGCACTAACAGCTCGCACCAGTACCATTTCACCCACCGCCGCCCACCGGGAACGGTCCTTACCTGCATCAATAGCGCCATGATGCCGCTGATACCGTGCGCGGCGCCCAGGTAGTGTTTCTCGTGCCACACGAACATCAGTGGACAGGGAGAGCGCTCCTCGACCGCCAGCTCCCTGCCCCGGGACAGAATCGCCGACACCGTCTGTGGGAAAAACGCACATCATGGACTATCACCGAGCTTAAGAACGGTGCTCCCTGCGACTCCGATCCCCGAGAAGAGAACAAATTTTAATCAGAAAACAATCCTAAGGCCGCATAATATGTCATCATCAGCTGCTGTTCAACGATGGTTCGATGAGATATCTCCCACGTAAACAAAGTGAAGGATCGACTTTGGTCACTCAAATATTCTGAAGGCTAGGTTAACGAGGCGGGTATTTCTTATGCGAGCATCACCAATCCCCGTACATTCTACGTAACAAGACATCAACTCAACTCTTATCCTCCTCGAAGCTCGATAACACCGTTCCGTCCCCCTTCTCCGCAATTACCTTCTGTATAGCGTCGGTAAGTGTTCCATAATCCGTTACCTTCTGCATAGCGTCAGTGATCCCGGCCGCTGTGTGTTCTGTAACCATTACCTTTTGCATAGCGTCGGTGAGCCCGGCCGGAGCGTGTTCTCCCAGCTGGGAGTGGAGGTAGAGCAGCGCAGCCAGGTAGCCGGAGCGGCCGTACAATAGCTCGTCGGGCATGGAGCGGGACGTCTGCACCGTGCCCACCATACTCAGCACCCTGGGACAGACAGAAGGGTAGAAGTAAGACAGACTATCACTGACTTACCACACCCAGCACCATGAGGCACAGAGAGAAGTCAGCCGGACACTTGCGCCACATGTGACGCCCGACGTCACCTTGGGACAAATTGATGCGTCGGTGCATCGGTCACACTAACTCACATATGATAGTCACATCGGAACGCACGTGATATTCACTGACAGTTCGTTAGCAGCATGCTCCCTAAGTCTAGCTTCATATGACAATTTGATTCAAGCAACTACATACAAAAAGAAAAAAAGAAAAAAAGCTTCTGTTAGACGTTTATGCCTGATGCCTCACACTATGCACCACCTTTTTATGTTTCGCCGCGTCCGTTTCACGCGCACCTCTGTGCATAGTCGGCGGCGCGGTCGGTCCGTCCCATCCTGTGTTCCAGTGCCGCCGTGACCGCCAGGGCTCCGGCCTCCCCGCAATGCAGCGAGACGCGGCGGGTGCGGCCGGCGGCGCCGGCAGAGGCGCGCTCCAGCTTCTTCACCAGACCGGCAGCCGACTGGCAGGAGAAGGGATGATTCAGTTAATGTTATCGTCACCATCAATGTCATGGGTCATGGACAGGCTGTGAATTCTACAGGAGAGCACAACTACAGCTGAGCAATGTCCAATAATGATGATCAAAGTCCAAAATGATTGTTTCTCCCAGTATTCATCATTTTATGAATCACAAGAAGGGTATTCATTATGCAAGATATTTGTAAGAAACTGCAACCAGTTACCACTGCATCTGTGACTGTCACTGTCTACACAGTTCCCACACTTCAAACTGATTTCTGTAATATCATAAGATTCACAGGAAGTTCAGGGGTCTTGGAGGGATGAAACAAGTTATCAAGGTAATCAGAAAACACCAAACCATACCCAGTTTGCTCCACCATCACTCACAGCCAGGAAACCCAGACATTCCATTCCTGACCTGCAGCAGGTGCTGATCTCCAGAGATGGAGTGCAGATGGAGATACATCAGTGCTATTCCAGCCGTCCCTGTGTACACACTGGAGTCACCCTCATCTGGAGAGCTGGGCAGCGACCTCTCCAGCCTCTCCAAGAGATGCTGCTGCCACTGCTGCAGGGTATGCTGAAACTCTGGTCCCAGCTGAGGGTGGAAAACAATTCAGATGAGGTCATACAACACAAAAAAACTGCCAAATACTGGGGTATTCTTATAACAGGCATCTCAGGATACAGGCGCTGCCACCTGTTTTTGCAATACTGGTTCTGCTGAAAACTGCCTCAAAATGGATGACAGTGAAAACGGTAGGAGTATGGTAGGAGGCCCGGGGCGATTTGATCATGGCTCTTGAAATTCACTCGCACAAACAATCACTGTATAAGGCATTGAGAGGGAGAGAGCTTCTCAATAGACAAGTGACCAAATATGCCCTCTGGCGCCGTTTTCACTGGCGTCCTTCAAAATGACTTGCTAGGAGGTGCACAGTAGGAATTAGCAAGTCATTTTTTACCTTAAAATCGGAATGCTGCTCACAGCTTCAGGCTTACGGCCATGACTGATGACACCGACCCTAACAACACTGCTTGTGAGATGTACTCGTAGCTATGCCTATGCATCATAACAATATCAATACGAGCATTATTAATGCTAAGGCATTTAGTCGCTCACCTTCCACAAGCCTCCAGCCTCACTATATTGCATCATATCCAGCTTCTTGTGAAGCTTTGAAGCTGGATTTGATTCCCAATCTTCATAAGAATTTTTAAACTCTCGGCTTTCTGCACTCATTTTGAAAGAAGGGCAGCACTGAACTAATGTCTGATCAGGGGTACAAACTTCGGGAAAAGCTTACAGACAGGGATGTCAAAATTTTTTTATCGTCGATCAAACTTCAAAGGAATCTGCTACTCACATGCGTACACAAACACGGTCATAGATACTAATGTTTTCACTAACACGCGCGTGCCCGTCGTGTTATTGTTTACATGCGTCGCGTACGTAACAACTGCGTAACAAAACCTTTGCTGCGCAGTGTCGATTTCTTTCCAAGAGCTAAATGAATGAATAATTTTAATTTTGTGAACAGTTTTAATAACCTGACTTAAAGATTCAGAATAGGATATGAATGAGTATTTTGAGTGAATTTTTTTTTTGATAATTCATCCGAGGGATATCGAAATCATCTAGCCATTTGTTTTCTTGATAGGTAGACAAATATTACGCACAACGAATAAATTGCGGTGTCATTGATGCGGCAGCGGCGGGCGCGCTGTGAGATATTGGACGACGATCAGTTTCATTTTAAATATAATTTAAATTAAGTAAACTGGTTCATTACTGGTGCATCTACTATACAACGGAAGAAAAGTTATATTTGTCACTTTTGTTGACAACAGGAAACCATGGTAAGAAGAAATATACGTGAACATGAAGGACGAACCGGAACCGCAAGGCGCAACGATAAACACAGTTTCAGTTTTAGCAACAATTGTACCTACCTATAAGCTAATTTGTGGCAAATTAAAATTATTGAAATGTCGTGACCTTTGAATAACCTGTGGTTTCAACTTTAAACTGATAAAAACGATTCTATGTCAGTAGGCGGAACTATGGTCATGAGTACCCAAATATAGGAACGTTCCCATTTTTGGGAACGGAGTTCCCAAATATGGGAACGGGCGTTCCCATTTATGGGAACGGAAGGTAATTTTTCGGCCGTTCGCCCACTAAAACTCATTAGTGCATCACGTCTCAAAAAAGTGCACGCTAATTTAAGTATCTACTAAGTCTCTATAAAATTATCTTTAATCTGACCGTTGCACAAGGAAATTGACCGTCGAATGATATTTTTAATGATTTTTTGAAATGACGGAATGGTGAAAACATGGGTTATACTACATTTAACTTGCAATTTTAAGGAAAATGAAGCGTTTTTACATTTTGAGGTTAATTATAATAATTTTCGCCTGGTTATGAAGTTTCATACTAGCGACACCAGATGCTGACATATGCAAGCGAACACGCGGACAGTCCGGGGGTAATATTGGTGACATTTGGTGTCGGGGCGCACGACCGCATGGAACGTCAGTGATTTTACCGAACTACTGTTGTAAACTCAGTTTCAGTGGTTTAAAATTATTCAGCTGTATTATATCATCCCAGATAGACATATTTTATTTGGATGCTAGCTGTTTAGAGTTGTTTTATAAGGAGCGTCATGTGCGTGGTTTTTGTCTTCCGTGTTTCTAAGCGTGATCGTTTCGGGGGAATTTCTCTTATATAGGTCGCTCTGTGTGGCTTATTTATAATTTTTATGCTGATTTCGATCATTCCTCGTGCCCATCCTACCAGGCCTTTTGCCACTTACACTCATCAAGAAAGGAAAAAACTAGATTTTCATTGGGACTAGGTGTTTTGAGGGTGTAACATATTCAGCGTTCCCATTTTTGGATACTTCCTTGTGCTCGTCAACTATCGGTGATAAACAGACAGGTGCTTGACATGTCTCCACCCTCGGCGCGAACGGTGGATATAGGTATGGAAGACCTTGTTGAACATCGCTGAGCGTTGTGAATTACGTAATCCTGCAGAGGGGGGCGTGCCCGCTGCGAGATCGACGGGAATAAAAGCGCAGAAGACCGGGCGAAACATGCGACGGTCTTGCCGGAAAGGTCATCTGATGATTGTTGCGTTAACAATAATTTGCGGCGTTGGACGTGATGCTTGTTAATGAAAAGAGCCCCTTAAAGGCGTCGGTGAAATCGTTCCCACTTTTGGGTACGCCGTTCCCATAATAAGGGACGCTTGCAGCGCCAGTGTACGAGAGCGTTCCCAAATTTAGGCTCGCGGCCCGGATGATGGACTGCTTTAGAAATAGGGAAACGATTTGAAACTACGATGGGCCTTACAATATCAAACTCTTTCGCAACAATATTGAGACAAATATCAGGTGGTTCACGATCGTTTTATATTTTTTGGACGTCATTTAACGGTTCTTTTTCTTGTTTTAAATAATGCCTACATGGCGTTCCCATATTTGGGTTTATCGTTCCCAAACATGGGAACGAAAATGCGTTCCCGAAAATGGGTACGCTTGACCATAGTTCCGCCTACTGATGTGTACCGCAACTTGAACTGGCCCCGACTCCGCTCGCCTTATACACAACATCCTTACACAGAAGTTGACACCCCTTTCGACCTATCCCAACTATTTTTTCCAATCAAACAACCAACTAACCTTACTTAACTTATAGGAGCCAATTATTACAAGCTTATTGTGTGAACAAGGCTCTGAATCATGTGCCTTTTGATCACTATTGGATCCAGAAAATGATAGTTACCTACCTAGGTATGATTTAGACTTTTAAGGGAAATGCTTCCTTAAATGACTCTTAAATGAAAAATAGGTTTTGTTTTATATGTTTTTCAAAACTCTTACTTCCAAGCATCATGTATTAACATAAAAGCACTTCTTTGTAGGAAACCAAAATTTTGAACACCATGGAAAAAATTGTTAAATGCCCCTTTAGATATCCCAGTACTTTTGAATTTATATTGAACAGATATTAATCCACCACCTTACTTAAGTGATCATCAGGCAAGCAAGGCATTGATACTTATTGCTAGTGTTCACTTGAAACACTGGTAGTTTCAGTTTACCTAGTTACTTACCTAGTGCATTCAGCATTGACTTAATTGATAACCAGTATTTAACTTTTTATAAATTGAGTTAGTTTGAAGTTGACACTGCTTCATAATTCAGTAAATAATATGTACAGCATCATATAACAATATATCTCTCTCTTACATCCCACACTGAACATTCACCACCTGTCCCATTATTTACAGAGTATCCTGGAGTACAATGGTGGTGCGGTGATTGCCATGAAGGGCAAGGACTGCGTGGCGATCGCCAGCGATCTGCGCTACGGCATCCGGCTGCACACGCACGGCACCAACTTCCCGGTCAGTGGTCATCGCTCCCGGGTCTGCCGGATACCGATCTTTTTACAATTCACAGTGGAAACGTAGTGATCAAAACTGGTGTGGTCGTCTCCTGAGGGGTTGGTGTTGATGAGTTTTGCCATCCCACCAGACATTCTTTCGATATTGATCTGCTGCCTGTGTTCTCCTACTGACTGATATGTGTCATCCCCGTCCGCAGAAAGTGTTTGAGATGGGCCCTCGGCTGTACCTGGGTCTTCCCGGCCTCCTCACCGACACACAGACCGTTCACGAGCGACTCAAGTTCCGTCTGAACCTGTTCGAACTGCGTGAGAACCGGCCCGTCTCGCCGAAAACGTTCGGCGCCATGGTCTCAAACTTCCTGTACGAACGCAGGTGAGTTCGCTGAGCCGCTCGCTTCTCCTGCGAAGATGAGTGAACATTCCCACACACTCCCTGATCTGGCGTCACGAGTGGGGTACAGCTTTAGTTTCCTACGCCGTCTGTGTCAACCTACACGACTCTACCCGAGCTGCATGAAGTCACGTCCAACGTCGTTATGAGCGTTCCGTCTGAGTTAGGCCGTGCTGTCCATCATGCGACTCTGCTGACTGTCCCGTCTCACCCCACCCCCACCAGGTTCGGCCCGTACTTCGTTGAGCCGGTCGTGGCGGGTCTAGACGAGGATGGCAAGCCCTACCTCAACGTCATGGACCTGATCGGCTGCGAGACCGAGACGGACGACTTTGTCGTCTCCGGCGTCTGTAACGAGCAGATGTACGGCATGTGCGAGTCGCTCTGGGAGCCCGATCTCGAGCCGGCCGATCTGTTCGAGACCATCGCTCAGGCGCTCATCAACGGCTTCGACCGTAACGCCGGCACCGGATGGGGCGCCATTGTGCACGTCATGTGAGTGAAACTCAACCTTATTAGCGCAAGTTTCAAGGATTGTTTGGTTCATGCTTTGCCGCATGGACGGGGGGGGGGGGCATTTTGCTTTGTTCGGTATAAGACGCATAGTGCGTACCATGCAGCCTACGGCAAATGAGGGGCCTTACAGCTCAAGTGATGATCAAAAGGCATACTTATTTACCATATGTGCTTTGTTTCCATGATAAGTGTCCCATATGCACGTGAGCTGACACTGTGCGTCTGTTCCGTTTCAGTGAGAAGGATAAGGTGACCACCCGCACTGTGAAGACTCGGATGGACTGAGAACCTCCGCCGTCCGTCCTCCAGCTCCTTTCCCCCAGTGATCGCGTTCGCTCGTTCGCCGCCGCCAGCCGTGTCTCCGCGGCGATTCTCACTGTGTGCGCCGCTTGGCGCGCTAATAAAACATGTGAACAAACTGGCTGTCTGCTGCGGGAAGGGACCGATTTACCGCTGGAGTTCGTTCTGTCCCAATGGATCGCGAGTGGACGACGGCTCATAACCGTCAACAAAACGAGCGGACAAGAGGAAACCGTCGACATGTGGAGGGGCGCGAGAAATGACCCTGCCCGCTGCCAATGGCATGCAACTCTGCAACGGAAGTACAATCATGGGCGCCGATGACCACCGCAGCCTGGGCGCCCTGGACCTTCAAATCACCATTATCACAAAGCACGATAAGAGTCGCGACTATATTCATTACGACACACGTAATCGACAAGTAACAAAGAGACATCGATAAAAAAGAAACATCGATTTAGTGGTCAAGTACCGACACATCGACAAATATTCCCCCTTTCCCCAGTATGAAACAAACTGCGACATCCCTGCGCACGACACTCAAATCTCTCACCGCGGCACTGCAACGCCGTCTCAAAGTTCCCAGACGAGATCATCGTCCATTGCTCCCGAGGGAGGCTCCTGCGCAGTGCCCAACTGCCCATCCTCCCTGCCACAGGTTAGACCGGGCGAGGCACCAACCGCGGTCGGCCCCGCTGCGAAGTCGACCCTGCTCCGGGTCAGGTTCGGTCGTCGGCCACCATTCCGGCGGAATCTGCCAGGCCTCCCAGGTCAGGTGAAGTCACCGTCGACCACCTCAGTGATATCCTCACTCCTCAACCCTAGATCAGGTCATCTCAGGTCAGGTCAGCGGCACTCGTCGCGTTCGTCGACCTGCATCGAGTGCAGCTGACAGAGCACCTTGGCCGCCACCTTGCGTCCCTGTCCCTCCCGGACATCCATCAGCCGAACCACCATGTCCGGAGAGAACGACGAGGGCGACAGACAGAGCAGGTGCCAGATCTGAAAACACGGGGGGTGAGCGGTCACACGACAGAACAATCACAGAGTAAAGATGGAAACAGAGAGCCAGTTTTGAAAACACATGACAGGGCGCGGTCACATGGCTGCAATTACAGAATAGCGACATCAGAGCACTGCGAAACTCACAGAAAGTAAGTTCAGATGACAATAAAAAAACATAACTCTCTAAGAACAGGAAACGCCTGTTTAGATATATTAACATCCCCTCTGCATTGTCAAGGGCCCTCAATGATACCGTGGATACTCCCCTAACATTTCCCCGATCACCCAGTCCCCGCGGTTAGCCACCTACCGCGGAGAGAGTGAGCGATCCGAGCAGGACGTGCATCCGCGGTCCGCCGCGACGCGCCGCCTCTGTGATGTATTGGACTGAGAAGTGCGTCCATACTGTCATCTGCCGACGAGAGAGGATGAAGGTCAGACCAGGGGAGGAATATCAGTGACTAACGAGGGATGAGTTGACAGTCAAAAGGGGAACAACGTATGATCGCCTGCAGCTGCTCTGCTGGCGCAGAGCAGCTGACTGGATAAGAAACTACCGCACTCGCACTGTCCAGATAAGAATGTAATACATCGACACATAATAGAAGTACGGAAGAAACAACAGCGAACGGAAAAGTTACAGCGGACTATCCACTACATAGCAGTCGTCGCCTCCATCCTCACGCACCACTATTCCCTTCCTACGTCCTCTCCACCACGCCGCACGCACCCTGCTATCATAGGCGACCGCGGCGATCTGTGCGGCGATGAGTCGGACGGCGCGGGCCACGGCCGGCACCGCCGCCTCGGCCGCCGGCGCCAGCGGCCGCTCGTACTCGTCGGCCGAGATGAGGTCGGGGGTGGGCGGCGTGGCCGGCGCCGGCTGCATCAGCAGCTGGAACCGCAGTCGCTGGTACTCGGGCGACACGCCGGTCACAGGCTCCGGGCCGTCGGCGGCCAGCAGGAGAACTGTGACAGTCATGCGGGCCAGACACGCCAGCTTGGGCTCCGAGGCGGCCGCGTGGCTGAGGGCGGGGAGAAAGGTCGCAGTTAGGCGTAAAGCGAGGAGACTGCGATTTTAGTTATGCTGGAAGATAATGGTACACTGTCATTTAACGGTCAGCGACAGGCCACCGGTCGGTACTCACCCGTGTCCGTTACCGAAGAAGTCGACCAGCACGTGCGAGGCGAGTGCCAGCGCGCACAGCGGCAGGTCCAGGTGGAACACCGCCAGGGCCATCTCCTCCGCACGCTGCCGCTCGCGCTCGAATGGGAAGTCCAGCACCATCTGTGGGACAGAGGGGATCTCAGTGAACAGGAGATGGTATGGTGATGACAGACAGAAGAGACAGAAGAGCTCACGATCAGTGAGCTCGGAATCCCACAACTGTGACCCCGGCTACCTAGAGTGATTTATGAATCATTGCTGACAAACATATTACCACCGATACCAGACAGCGTGAAAAAGTGAATTTCACTTCACAAATAAAAATTCCAACCAATGAACCAAAGCGGGGTTCGGTACAATGAAGGCGACACCTCATAATAAAGACCGGAGCCCAGCCTTCTGTGAATTAATTTATTTATCCGTTGTCCAGCGAGCAGCTCTGTCCCTATCCTCTCTTCCACCGTTTCTTTCACATCCACAGTTGTCCCTCATCCTCCCCTCCGCATATATCTAAGCCTCGACTCTAATTACGTCTGTCCTAGCTTCGAATCTCCCCTCTACACCGCTAGGATCCCCTCCTCTCGCCACTCACGCTGACAGTGGAGCTGACGAACCAGGCGGCGCCGCCGCGCGCCAGAAGCCGCCGGAACTCGGTAATGTCACTGTCCGACAGCGAGCCCGCCGACACCACAGAGTCCCAGAGCTGGCGAAGTTGCACTAAGAGGGCGGCCGGCTCCTCACCGCCGGACTGGATACTGTGGGAGGGCAGGTCACAGGTTAGATCACAGGTCACAGGTCACAGCTGCACCAGGAGGGCGGCCGACTCCTCACCGCCAGACTGGATACTGCATAACTGAGGTCACAGCTCAGGTCACAGTCTCAAGTCACAAGCCAGGGCAAAGGTGCACTAACATAATGAAAGACACGCCATCAATGGCTGTCTTCGAGGCAGCACACTAGCTGAATATCCAAATTATTTCCCTGAACTCTTGATCACATAAAGCACACAATTCTGCCCCTCCTACACATCAACCCCTCTCCCCCTCCACGATCTCTTACCGCACTGCACCGTCTCGTGGCAGGAAGTCATCCAGCACGTGGTGCATGATGCTCTGGGCCAGGGCGAGCCTCTCGTGGGCCTGGTCGCCGGTGGGCAGGCAGTCGGCAGGCACCGGCGCAAGGTACATGTTCACCAGCACCCGCGCCTTCTGGGCCAGACGCTCGTCGGAGCTCTGAGAATGAGAGGGAGAATCAGAACACAGCTGGGATGAGCAACAGCTGGGTCAGAACAAGGAGGTAGACTTACAAAAAAAAAAAATATTAAGCCAGGGAGAAGGAAGGTTGGTGGAGTATTTGGTTCGTTGACTATCCGCTCGCTAAGCAGATAAGACCGCCGTGAGATGGCCGATGGATGGCGAAATCACACAATTATTGGAATGAATACCGGCACCGTCTAGCAAATAAGTGACTCAAGTGTAAAGCAAGTGAGGTACGAAACCCCGCATCCCTGAAAGTGTGTCGGTACTCAGACACACCAGCCGATATAAAACAGCTAACCACCAAACCGGCCAGCAGCGGGGGCCGGCCCTCACCTGAAGAACCGACTTGAGAAAGACGACCACGCAGACGGAGAGGCAGGCCCACTGCCGGTTCATGTTGTCGACCACCGTCTGAACCTGCTCCTGAGAGACCTGTCCGTCCGACCAGGCCAGCAGCAGCCAGTAGATGAAGGCGGGGACCGAGAGACAGACCTCGTCCCAACGGACAGCGCTGAGGACACGTAAACGCATTCAGTCAGTTAGTCAGACACAGCGCTGAGAGGGACAGAGACAATCAAACTCAAAGCCAGATAGTACAGTGCCTCGTCCCAGCAGACAGCGCTGAGAGGGACACAGAGACAATCAGACTCAAAGCCAGACACAGAGTCAGACGCAATGAAGTACCTCGTCCCAGCAAATCCCTAACCAATCCGAAACTGATCAATAAATCAGTTAATATATCATCGAAACTCTCAAACAGCCGACTCACCTGGCCAGCAAATCATATCATACGCAACTATCCCGACCACCTACCCATACTCCATCCACACCCCGCGAGCCTGCCCGCTCCACGTCGTCCACATCTGGCTCACCTGACGAGCAGGTTGGCTCCGGGTGTCATCAGCTGCTCGTACAGCTGAGTGAAGCGGGACGGCTCGCCGAGCTCCGTCAGGCTCAGCACGCTGCGTCCGTCGGCAGGCCGGTAGAACAGACGAATCCACCGCTGGATGAATGGCTCTGTGCCCGTGTCGGGGCACGTCAGAGAGCCGGCCGGTGGCAGCGCCTGGGGGCGCGACAGGGCACATGTTAGATGGGAGATATCGCCGGAGGCATTAGTGGTTAGGTCAGCACGCAGCGAAGCGCATGGGGCCTGGACAGCTCGCGGGTCAGAGAGCCGAATATGAAAGAGACATTACTGTAAACATTGTCAGCATACGATTGAAATTTGAAGCAACATGAGTGAGCTCTGTAAATATAAGTCCAACGTTTGTCCAAGGCTACAGGACCACAGGAAACAGAACTACAAGAAACAGAACTACTGGGAAACAGAGCTACAGGGAAACAGAACTACATGAAACAGAACTACATGAAACAGAACTACATGAAACAGAACTACAGGAAACAGGACTACAGGAAACAGAACTATACGAAACAGAACTACAGAAAACAGAACTAAAGGAAACAGAGCTACAGGAAACCTAACTACACGAAACGGCAGTCAAATGTGTGCAGACTCGCATCATCCTGTGGTAGACGTACCTCCAGGCCGTAGTTTTTGACGGTAGTCATGACGATGAGGAAAGTGACCTCGAAGAGGATCGCCTGGTTCTTGATGGACGGCGACTCGGCCGATGACGACGTCCGCAGGCTGTTCAGCATGATGAGATGCTGCGAAAACATAGCATGGGTGTGATAGAGGAACGATAGCGACCGTACTAGATGGGTGTCCAGTGATCTCGGACCTATCTCGATCCCGGTCCATAAAACGAGCCTAGATCACGCCGAGTAAGCACGCACAACACAGTCATGCAGCAGCTTACACCATGATGGGATGTAAACGCAAGTTTACATTTTCATATAGGTCATGCCACTTCCAAGTTTGAGCTAAATTAAACCAGAAGTGTGACAGACGCAATTTCAAAAGAAAATAAAGAACACCGCTGCACCATTCCCGGGATCCATGACCGCACTGTTGACGTCCTCACCTTCATCAGCTGCTGGACCTTGCCGATGCCGACGGCTGCGCCGATGACCAGATGCTGGGACGGCCCGAGCATGTGGAAGAGCACGGTGGTGATCTTGGAGATGCCAGCCTCCTGCTGCTGCACCTCCATCGTGTTCAGGATGCTCTTGACGGTCGGATCGGCGCGGAGGATGCTGCCGGGGCTGTCACCGGGACAGTCCTGGGAGAGGGTGGACTGGAGCTGGCGCAGACGGGACGCACGGCTCACCGATACCCTGTGGACAGGATACGCTCATGTCACTGAGCACGACAGTCATAACGTAGAATCACGTCATGAGCATGGGCAATGGGCCTGGTAATCTGTCATTGTCACCGGACAGTATTGATGATAGGGCCGAAAAAGTCAAAACCATCGTGTCACTGCCCGACGTCCCCGAGAATACATCCGAACTCCGAAAGCTCAAAAGCAGACAGCCGACGCAAAGCCATCACAGTTTTACACACTCAGTAACAAACATTTGGAATCTCAGGGGTATCTGCACCGTTTTCAAGTACTCCCTGCAGTTGCCAGTTCTCACCTGAGTTTCATGATGCTCTGCAGGTCCTCCTCGGTGATGACCTCCGCCTTCAGCATCTCTCGCAGCAGCAGCTCCAGAGTGTCCTGGCCGGCGTGTCCGTCCCGGTTGTAGAGCAGCTCCACGAGGTCCAGCTGACCACCGGCCGACACCAGACGGTGGAACGCGGCGGCCAGGGCCGCGGAAGGTGCTCCGGAGCCTGTCGGAGAATGAGGCGAAATGAGGAAACGCACCCAAGGTCACAGTTCGGGAAATGTTGGGGTCGGGACTGGGAGACAGCAATGAGAAACACTATCATGTAGTAGTCCGCAGATATCGGCTAAAAATAGGTAGTTCGTCCCCGAAAAAAAAAATGAGAACATGGCGACCCGAAATTGCATTACCTGCTGCAAATCACTGACTCGATGACTGTAGCTGAACTTCCGACTTGGTGTCAGTCCACACCAGCACTTACCTGCGAGTCCGTTGTTGAGACAGACCATCAGCTTGGGCAGCCGGTGGTACGTGAACTGGACCCAGTAGCGGCCCATGTCCGTGCCCACCGCCTGGGAGAGACCCTCGCAGCAGGTGCGCACGATGTTGAAGTACAGATCCTCGGCTGATATCCCCTGAGAAACGAGCAAACGAGGCTGGTTAGGTTGGTTTCAGTACGACTACAGTCTACAGCTGCATCTAATTCAATTAAGAAAATGGACAACACTAGCTGAATATAGATTCTCGCGTCCATCACCACCACCATGACAGGTAGGTACCTGAGTTATGACCCATATCAACATTGCCTAATTAACCATCAAGCAGCTTTTGCCACACTCAAGGCTCCAGCAGTCAATCTTCCCCCTGTCCTTCAGCAGTACTGCGGCAGCCACAGAATCCCACCCGGCCCTCTGACCTGCGTCTCCTTCAGCCTGATGAGCCGATCCGCCAGTGCCTGCGGCGGCCGGACCCGGAAGCAGCTCAGCTCCACCTGCACCAGGCAGTGCACGGCGCGGATGATGGGGTGCTCGCGGGCCGGCGCCGGCACCGGCCACAGACCCGACGATGGGTCGTACTCCAGCAGCGAGCTGACGGGCAGACGCGGTCAGATAAGGTCAGGTGGAGGCGGTCAGGCGAATGTGTGGTCAGATGGAGGCGATCAGAATGTGCGGATGGTTTGATGGAGGCGGCAATATGCAGGCTTTCAGAAAAAAAAAACAGATGAGTGCGGCTGCTGGGGAGAACGACCAGCTAGACAGAGACAAGGAAACGGTCGATCCACAGATACCAGGAGTGGATAGAAGAGAAAAGGTGGTCGAATACCGGATACACTCAACGTCTATTTGATTACCAGATAAGCAAGCAGGCATGACAGAAAGACAGCCAGAGCACAGCGCACATGTGTGCCACAAGAAGACGTAATGTGAACGGCACACGAACGGGTCTTGCGACAGTAGTATAACAAGCCAAGCGAGCGTTTATTCCAAAATACACAGGCTGGTAGTACGTGACTTTCTGGTTAATCATTTTCACCGCAGCTGTTTGACGACACTGAGGTGGTCGCTGGTCGGTTCCAGTTCCTGCTCCAGCCGTCCCAGCAGCTTGGTGACGGCCAGCACCTTGCCTGGCAACACACAGCACGGAGTGCCGATTCAATAACATGAGTGAATAAATGAATGAATGAATGAATGAATGAATGAATGAATGAATGAATGAATGAACAAATTGTTAGATAAATGAATGACACAAAGTTATATGCAAAATAAAAGCATGATAAATAAGTGAATGCGCGACCCTAAAAAGGCACGATATACGATGACTGAGTCACGAGAAAAAAAATGCGCCGTACAGAGCTATAAAAAAATGCAGCCTTTTACCACCCATCAACTTCCACCTACCCTGATCCTCGAGCCTGCCGAGGTACAGCAGCGCGGCCAGGAACCTGTTCCTGGCCACCAGCTCGGCGAGCGCGGCCAGCTTCAGATTGAGCGCCTGACGGGCGGGGTCGGCGGCGGCGGCAGGGTCAACGCCAGCCTCCAGCAGGGCAGAGAGCCACTCCACCAGCGAGAGGACCGAGCGAGCCAGGTCCATACACTCCTCCTGCTTACCGCGACACTGCACCTGAGACTGGGGAGAAAAGGTCCTAGTCAGGACACCGGAGCGGGCCATATCTTACCACACTGCGCCTCAACGAAAGGGGACAAAGGGGGTAGGGAGGACTAGGGGCGCTAGTTATAACACAGAACGGGGATCAGGTTATACCACGCTATGGCTGTAACTGGAGGCAACCACGAACACTATGTAACAGCAGCATACTCACACAAGTAATTTGATATAAATATCCACAGCGATACTTCAGTTCAGAGCACTGGAAACATTATCAGAATGAGTTGAATGTGCCTTTGAGCGCTACCGTAGCTCGCATATCGCTGACGTTCGTATATACGTGAGACCGTTTACTGGTAGCTGAAGCTCCATAGAGCTCCTATGAAGTAGCTGAGGCTAGAGCAGCTGTAGCTCGTCCATGCGCTGTAGTTACCTCGACCATGGAGACAATATCCAGACAGGCGGAGAGACAGTGGATCTTTTCGAAGCTGCGGAACCCGGCCACCGCTTCCAGTACCGCCTGATGGGAGATGATCTGCAGACAACAGAACAACTGGATTAGGTTTCACACATAGGATCGACAAACATTGCTTGCATTGAATGATGTGATCATTTTAGGAACAAACAAGCAAAACAGAGAAATGAGCAGCGACGCAACAAAAAAGACCATTCTTTATTCAGTCAAGTCGCATAGTAGGTAGTTCAAAAAACGTACTCCCGAGCAGAGCGAGTGTTTGATGTATTTGAAGATGATTGTCTTCATGGTGGGTCCCACAGTGGAGAGTTGCAGCATCGTCGGAGCCAGATCGTATACGTCACCGCTGACACCACGCGGCAAAATCTGAAACATAATCATCAATTATGATCTGATAAGGCTTCGTCACTTTCAACTAGACATGGTAAATGAATTTCTAACAAGAAAGAAAACAAACTGTGATTAGATACGATAGCAAACGATAATAGAAATTACGCAGAGGAGACTGCGATCATGGATTACGGGATCGTATAAGATCGCCTAGGGATCGTATATGGATTGTATACGATCGTCCAGGGATCGTAAATAGATCTATAAGATCGCCTATATATCCTCTCACACGGTGAGTTACAGCCCATCGGCCTGATGTCGAGCTCAACCCAGAAACGCGTCTCCACCGCCCCGCCACCGAGCAGCGATCGGACCGCTAACGTACCTGTTTGATGGCGATGCCCCAGACCTGTTCATCCCAGCGCTCCCGCCAGGCCCTCAGCAGCAGCGACCGCAGCGAATCCTTCTTCCCCATGGTGACGCCGCAGCCGGGACGTAGAGTCAGCATCCCAGCCTGCAGGCAAATGCAGATTGCAGTGTCAGATAAAATCCGGAGCTTAAGTTGTAAAGTGTTGAGATAGGTTCGCCACAGTAACGTTAGCTTTTCGATGTCCAAATGTTCTAAGCATCTTCTGGACAAATTTTATTCACATTTCTTCATCTTCACAAATATTTGTTTATGAATCCCAGATCCTCACTAGGCACCACCTTGTCCCATGGGAAAATGTAACTAAAAGACCCTGAAAAAGCATTTTGATAGCCCAACTACTGAGTGTGAGACTCTCACCAAGCCCCACAGGACCTCACCCACAGCAAAATACTGTGATATGTCAGGCTGAGATTGAGCCACATCAGATTTCAGCTTTGCTCCTGAACTCACCATAGGCATTTTCCCAAACTGAGGTTTAATGTGGGCTGCCTGGCCCTGATCCACAACCCAATACTGATACTTAGTATTTACACAGTGCTGAGTGCTGATATAAAGTCTAGGGAATAATAATTCAGTCCAATTCAATCCAATGTCAGCCTGCCTTGCCAAGGCAATCCTCAACTTGAACTACTAGCTCTGCAGCACTGGCCACTAAAGAACTAAAGCTGAGATGCTGACTGCTGACAACATTTTATGACTGCATAACAGTGACATATACATTTCCCTATTGGGGGTGCAGGCCCAGGGCTTTATTCTATTCACTTTTGACTTTTGACAACATCAGGTCAATTCTCATGCTGTCAGAAATATTTTTGGTAAATATCAACATAAAACCAGAAATGATAGATGTAGCCCTCATGTTACACAAGCCAGTCACAGATTGACACAAACCACTGGCACGAGCACAGCAGTCTCAGAGCCGATTCCTCGCCTTCACCACATGGCACACCACACAGCACAGCCAGCCTCATACGACACAGGTGACAGATGACGGGTGGCACAGGTCATGTGGCCAGCTGGCCCCAGGGCTGTGCAGTGGTGCACTTAGCACCTCACAGCTCAGCAAGTGGACAAAATGGTGCATATCAAGCGACCCAAAGTCCCCGCTGGTTGCGCAGGTTTAAATAGCCCAAAGCCCCCTGTCAGCAGGCGACAACCTGCTGGATATAAGCTGATGCCGAGACAAAAATAAGCAGCAGTCTGCAGTACAGTAGGTTATTTTTTTATTTTATAGATCTGACACAGTCACGTGCATTCGGTAATTGTACTTCTAAAAACGTTTCCATGACAATAAGTGTTCATTTTAAATGCTCAATGCTTGGTCACGTTTCCCCAACACTTGCATGGCCCAATATGAATAATATTCACTCACCAACAGCCGCCAGATGGAGGTCAAAATGCAATGTATTTACACCACTGAACTCTATAATGATTTACACGCACAATTTCCTACTTGTAAATCTTCTCAGGGTGAGTATTCGACTGGTATGACCCGAACGAACTGCAGTAAGTTGTTGCCTAGCAACATGCAAAATAAAGGCTCGCTGGTCTGTAGTTGCTAGGAAACCCCCGGCTATTTCATAAGCAAAAGCTGCTATTAGTGCCACTGAACACTAGACATTTTGAAGTAGACGCACTCAATTTGGGACGTAATTGACGCAGCTTTTCAGCTGATTCCCTTTCTTCGTCACTGTAGTAGTCAAATCACGTTAATTTTCTAAAATTAGGTTACAAATATTTTTACAATAGTACAATAAATACATATCATTCATATAAAAATGTTTGTCGCTAAACATCCGAAGGAAAACATCAAAATTTAAAGCAAAATGAAGTCCAATAAAAATTTGCCTACGTCAAACTGACGTCAAAGGGCTTCAACTTTTGACGAAATGAAAAATCAAAGAACATAGGGAAAGGCACACCTCGGAATACTTGGCATCTTGTTGCGTTTATCTATCAGTTTCGTCAGTTCGTTGGGAGGTTGAGGGCGTTGCGCCGGGTGCTTGTGGTAATACTTGCGATTGGTAGATTCGTGTGGACGTGATATATGTGAAGTTTCTGAAGGCAGTTTTTGGGCTTGGAACAAGTGTTTTATCGTATAAGCTCCAAGTAGCGTGGCAATCATGGTCAATCGACAGAGAATATTTGTTTGCTCTCTATGGCGGATCGTCCTGCTTGCATTTGCTACCGTCCAGATTGTGCCTTTAGCATTTGCTTCACCACATGGTAAGCCGACCTTTTCATGTGCATCTCATCCGTTAAAAAAGATGTATAAAAAGTGTAAAAGCTGCTATATTGATATGTAAGAGGGTTCCATCTATTACACAGTGCGCTTTGTTCAGACCACCTATGATAGAACTGGGGAATTGGAATGGTTGCAGGTAGTGAAGTGTGAGAATTCAACAACACTTTGTTACCAAAGGTTAGGCATTTTTACATTGACAATTATATTTCTAGCTTTACCACTGGGAATGCTGCCTCTGGATGGTATCAGATCCATTTGTCATAAGCTTAGTGATGTATGATCCATTATTATCACTTGAAATTTGATTAAAAGAGACTTAGCAGCTTTGCTGCTGGCTATGTTCTTGTAGGTACCTTTTGACTTGTTTTAGACATAGATGGTGACAGATGGTCCAATTATCAGTTGCTGTCTGATAACTCAAACTGGTCTTCAGTGTTTAATTGTCATAGTGTGCTTGCTCAGGAAACATCTTACTTATCAAGAGCAGATTAGTGCTTACCTGTACCTACCTTCTTTCTTTCAATGCCCATCTCATGATAGCCCAGCTGATAGACTGTTTGGCTCACTCAAGAAGTGATATTTTTGTGAAATATTCTTGAATATTGTTTGCTTGGCCACTCCTTTTCTGTTTCTTACAGTAGAATTAAGTATTACCCAAGCTTAATTCAAAGTTATCTTTGGAAGCTACCTACTTAATCTGTTCATTTGCAGTCAGTTCTAGAGGACTATTTTCTACCTTCCATCAGCCATTCCATATGAGCCTGCCTGCAAGGCTTTGGGGAAGAGCCACATACTGTGTGAACTCCATCCAGTCTGTGACGCTGTGCGCGACAGCGAGGCGATATTCGTGTCGTGTCGTAACCACGCACCGGTTCCACGCTCACTGTGTCCGCGTCGTGATGCAACCGCTCACCGGCGCTCATTTCTCGAGAGTCTGAGTCAGAGTCAGAGTCGCCGCCGACCGTCACGCATGTCGTGATGCCGCCGAGTCGTAACGACACGTGACGCTCGGCGGGTTCGGCGTAACGTCCGAGCTGCCGGCGGCCAAGCAGCGCTAGGTCGGTGGAGTGCTGCGTTACACCGACTATTGTGAACGGCAGGTTATGCGCGCTGTGCTGCCTTATCGTTGGCTCATTGTAGCTTCAGCTTTGCGATGAGCTGTCAGCTGGGCTATGGTTAGATTGCTTCTCTCGTGATCCTGTCTCTAGACCCGTCTTCTCCGCCTTCAGTTGTGTCGTGTGTACTGTATATTCCTGTAATCGGGACTGTCTCTTATCGTGTCGTCCATCCCCGAAATGGGAGCATCAGCACCTCACACCTCGAAGGTCGCCCTCCCCCTCCCCCATCTCGCCGCTACCGTCCAGTTCGCGGCCACTGCCGGCGCGGTCAGCAGGTCGCTCTTCTCTCGCCGGCGGACCCTGCTCTGTCTGACGAGCTGACCTTGACAGGGAGCCACCAGTAATGTATAGACATCCATAATGCATCGACACGTCGTCACAGCTGCTGGCTGCTCAATGTTCCCTCTCGGGGCCGTCGTTATTAGCAATGCTCGCTGTCTAGGAACGGTTTCCCAGCTGTCCAGGGAAAGGTTTCGTCATTGCCCAGTGATAGTTTCCTCACTGCCAAGGGAACACTTTCTCGACTGCAGGGAACATTGTCTCCGCTGTCTAGGGAACAGTTGTCTCGCTTTTTAGGGAACAGTTTCTCCACTGTCCAGAGAATAGTTCCCCGCTATCCAGAATTCAGAGAATCTGTTGCGCTGCAGCTCTGCTTGATATCACGGGAAGTTGTGCATGTCATGAGCGCGGCTAGCTGTTCTGACTGAGACATGTTGGGGCGCTGACTATGTAATGTGCTTTGATATACCTCGTTACGGCAACGCAGATCCACAGATTCTGTTTCCATTCCACTCCAGGGATCTCTGTTTATTATCGTTCTCCATTTACTTTTGCGCATTTGGGTAATCGTTCCAGGCTTACTTGCCTGTGTTACGATAACCTAATTTTGTCAAATTAAATAAACATTACATGTCTACGCATTACTTCGACATGCATAAATGACTGTGCACTGTGCATAGGCTTCTGTCATCAGTGTTTCGTTCTCATTCGTTCCGCATCTTGCCCTATTCTCTCTTTGTCTCCGGCCTCTGCAGCATCTGCGCTCTTTGTCTCGCCAGCGAACCGAGCATGGAAAGAAAAACGCTTCTGGCCGTCTCTCTCCCTGTGCGTGCAGGCCTCGTTATTCCCTTCACGTTGGAAGGCCGTCGGGGTTGCCACTCTCTCTCCCTCTCCTCGCGTGTAGTTGCTACCATGTTGCTACGCGACTAGAGCGATTTCTGCTGCACTCTACCATTAGCCGTCAGCTCCGAACACCGACGCGGTGACGTCCGATGTGTAATACCGCTTGTTCCTTTCCCGTTCGTTTCCGGCGCACCGGGCGACGGTGCGGGCGAACAGCTCCACTTTCACTCGGTGTCTTTGTGTTTGCCGTGTCAGCTGTGTGGCTGGTTGGTCGGTCGGTAGAGCCCGGTCCTAGCGCCGCTACCGTTCTTAGACCGGCATCGTTCCGTGTCGCTGTGACGGCACGGTGAGCGCTCCTGGCTGCCCGTGCCGCCCGTCTGTCCACCGTATATCGACCCCGCCACCTCACCCCTCCCAGCAGCAGTAGCAGCTCAAACGACCGCCGCGGCCCGGTCGATCCACCGCCGAGCGCGTGTGCTGGAGCGTGGCGCGATTCGACCGCCCCCGCCCCCGCCCCCGCCCCCGGCCCGGCCCGGAGGCCAATTCGGCACAGCGGGTGGCAGCTTTGTGCGCCGCCGCTCGCCGTCTGTCAGTTGGCAGCGAGATTGGGTCGCTCGGCGAGACGGGTCGGGTTGGTCGTCGGTGCCACGCTATGGTGTTTGTCAGCCTGGCTGGTCTGCAGAGATAGGCGGCCTGAGGAAGAGGTGGCCGGAGGTGGTACCGATAGGAGCGTGCAGCTCTGGGGATGGCCCGGGGTCTGACAGGAAGGAGCGAGGGGGCTCCGCGGGGGTGTGTGGTTCCCTCTGAGATAGGCGAGTCGTTGCAGAAACAGCATGTGACGGACATGTCACAGTAGTAGGGCTGTGAGGGCTGAGTTCTGCCCGGCTGTAGACTAGCGTCTGGCTTTAGAGTTGCATTGCTCCTGTTGTTTCTGCCCCTGCAGTTTGTTTGTCGGTTCCTGGCCGCCGCTCGGCCCGGGGGCTGGGAAGTCCCGACCGCCTCTGTCGGTCCGCCGACGGCCGGGGAGGCTCTGCTCGGCCGCCGCTGGCGGTGCCGGCGCGCCTGGCAAGGTCGCCAGTCTGCCGAGCCCCGCCAGCCGGCCGGTCCGGACGGCTCGGACAGCTCGACAGAGACCGGTCCGGAACGATCGGACAGCGCCGAGCAGCGGCCGGCGCGCCGCCGCTCAGACAGATACGGCGCGCTGCGCCACTATCTGCCGCCGCGCGCCGGCGCCGCCGACAGACCGTGGAACGTTCCCACCCTCACACGCATACGTGTCCGCGCAGTCCCACGCACTTGGGACAGGCTGGTGCACCAGCCAGTACTCGAGCGTTCCAACTCGTCGGCTGCCAAGTTTCACACCTGTGCATGCATTTAATGGCGGCGTGGCGCTGCTCACGCGCGGTCGTGTGACCTTCGTAGTCTGATCTGCAAACATCATCCTTCATCGATGCCGTGCGGGGAAGGGAGGCGCGAGTCATTGATTAGCCCTTCGTGTGTCGAATGAGCGGACTACCGGCCACTTTTGGCTGGCGCCAAAGCGTGGTGTTACACCGGCTTTGGAAGGGGTGGTCTCTGTAGCTAAGCAGAGACAGCTGCCAAGGGACGATGTCGGACTGCGCCGCCGCTGGAGAGGTGTGGAGGAACGATGGGTCGGTGGGGAGGATTAGGTGGTTTGGCGCCCCGGGGGCCGGCTATGCCGAGTCAGCACGACACAGCGTCGGCTGGCTGGAGTAGCTGCCTAGGTTGGCCGTCTGCTGGCTGTGGCAGCGGGCTGGGCTGGTCGGGACAGCTGTAGCAGCGGGCTGGCCGCGGGATGACTGCAAGCTGCAGCATTGGACGGGTCGTCTGCTGGCTGTGGCAGCGGGCTGGGCTGGCTGTTGACTGGCTGTGGCAGCGGGCTGGGCTGATCGGGACAGCTGTAGCAGCGGGCTGGCCGCGGGATGACTGCGGAAGCTCTAGCAGCGAGCTGGCCGCGGGCTGGCCCGGTACTACAGCGATTCGAGCTGGCCTCGGGCCAGAACTGCCATGCTGTGCATTGGGTATCGGCCACCTGACCGTACCATAGACCTACGGCGGAGCAGAGATTAATCAGATCATGACAATGTATCTTATCGTTGATCAATCTGGTGGGTTTGATCACGGCACAATTTGTTATCGGTGGACATCATTTACTGGCTGAAAGGGTGCGATGAGATCCCTCCTAGCTGTTCGGCGTTCTTGACACTATCTCTTGCACCAGCTGATCGCTGAGCAGATCACCAGTTCACTCAAGTAACTGAATGTATCTCTTGTTTGATCTGCTCACGAGCGCATTGGTCACTGTCTGCCGACTTGACTTTTTCTCGCATGGTTTCTTTGATCTAAGAACTGAGATCATTGCCCGCTCTGATCACCAGAGAATGGAGATGACTGCCTATGGTCTTATGGCCACAGAGGCCGCTTTGTCCTTTCTGTTTTGAACCGTGCGTACCGGATGTATGGCGAACGCTGGCACGGTAGACTGGCTCGAATCGGCAGTTTTTTCATTGGCTGAAGGTCAGTTATGTGGAGATGGCTGGGCTGAACTCGGGGGATGGGTCAATGCCCTTAGAGACAGGCCAGTTCACAAGCAGTGCAAGGCTAGGTGGGACTTGATGGTTTACAAAAATATCTATCTTACACTTCGGTATGCTGGTTGGTTTGTTCCGTATGATGTTCGAAGGTGACACTCCCTGCGTAGGTCAGACATCGCCGTGCAC